GTGGAGGGACAGTGTAGGAAAGGAAGACCCAAGATGAGATGGATTGACTCAGTGACTGAAGAAGTGGGATTATGTCTGTTGGAGATGAGGAGATAGGCTCAGGATAGATTTCAGAGCTAGTGTACATACGGTTGTTATGAATTGCAGGCGACTCACCAGTACTGAAGAGCAACAACTTCACAAACTTGCACCTAACTCATTAGTTCATAGAGAGAAAATAGGGACATTGGCAGCATAGAGAATAGGAAGGAAAGAAAATTGCGCTGGTGCGAACCAAGTCTTAGGAGGAGGTGCTACTGAATTGAGAGCTAAGGAAATGTGAGGGCTTAATGTCTTCTCCTTCAGAATCCTCTAGGAATACTCAGAGGTCCTGAGCTGACTCTGATCAATTCCTTTTTGTTGAGTAGTTTTCTGGGAACTCAGAGAATAAAAATATTAACACTATCTACTATCTTCCTTAAGTTTTTCTTTTCATTTTCCAAACAGCTACCCTATTTTTTTTAAAAAGGTATTTGCAATGAATAAATCATTGTAAATACCAAATTCAGTAATTCTATTTCCAGCCTCATTTCTATCACCGAGCCCACATTTTCCAACTATTATTCCATCTTCATTGTTTCTTTGCATTCTAGAAACTAATTATTAATAACACATCTTGATTACATGTTCAGTCAATTTCAGATTGCAAGATTTAGTAAAAATTTTCAATTTCTTCTTCTTTGGCTCTAGTTGTAGGAGTATATATTTGAATAATAGTTGTGTTAATGGGCCTTCCTTGTAGGTGTATGGATATAACCCTATCACTCACAACATTGTATAGGTATATAAATTGAAAAGTTATGGAGATAAGATGCATCCTTGACACACAACTTTGATGATCCTGAATCATGCAGTGTTTCCCTGCTCTGTTCTGGACTGTCTCCTAGTCCAAGTATATATTTCACATGAGCACCATCAAGTGTTCTAGAATCGACATTCTTCTCAAGGTTAGCCACAATTTATTGTGATCCACTCAGTCAAATGCCTTTGGATAGTCAATGAAACACAGATAGACATTCCTCTGATACTCTCTGCTTTCTGCCAAGATCCATCTAACGTTGGTTATGAAATCTCTAGTTCCATGGCCTTTTCTGAACCAAGCCTACACATCTGGCAGTTCTCTGGTGATGTAGTTTCTGGATAATCTTCAACAGGATATTCCTTGTGTGTGAAATTAGTGATATCATCTGATATTTTCCACTCTCTGTTAGGTCACCTTTTTTTTGAAATAAAATTCCAGTTCCACAATCAGCATTAGATAAATAAACTTCATGCTGCTTATGCCTTAGTTTTCTTACTTGCAAGAGAGAAGTTATAGTACATACTGCCTGGAGATCTTTGTCAGGATTATAAGTTCTTATGTAAGGGGGTGAGAATGACAGGCATACAAGTTCTCAATAATTGTTAGCTTTTATAAGTATTATGCTACAATAACAGCTTTTTAAAATACTAAAGGGGCCCAATTGAATTATTTCAGCTAACAGATGCTGCCCTGGATGTGCTCACCAAGTTGTGTCAAGAAATCTGGAGAACAACCACTTGGCCAACTTACTGGAAGAGATCTATATTTGTTCCCATTCCAAAGAAGGGTGAACCAACTGAGTGTGGAAACTAAAGAACAATATCATTGATTTCACATGCAAGCAAGATTCTCCTGAAGATTATCCAAAAACGACTGGAACAGCACATCAGCAGA